TCTATTATAGCATAGTAGCGATCAGTGGTTACCGGTCGTACATATAATAATTAGGTGTGTAGACACGGTGACCGGCAACTTGCGACTTTGAAGTTTGATCGAAGTTTGAACATGCGACGCGATGCGGCGTGATATGATGCGATTTATGTTTACATACATGTAGTATTTATTGAGACATGTATCATGTATGTATTTACTGTCTAAGGTAAATAAATGAAATATTGAGGGTTTAGTTGATTCGATCAGTGTAAAGTGCATTATGTTGATGCGTTTCAGTGACTTTAGTTGTTTTGTTTTGATTGACTGAGCTAACTAGCTGAGTGGACAGTGTCATTGGTGATGCAGCAGTACAAAGAACACCCTCACCAGTACCCCTGTCGAGTTTAAAGGGGCTACCCCCACATTTAAGAAAATGACATAGGTTTCAATGGGCTACATGTTCTCTATCCTTGAACCGTACAGACTACAGTCTACAGAGATAAGTTACTGTGTTTGTATGATATTAATTATTATTAACAACTTTGATTATAATTCATTACCAATTAAGTTGCGACTATATATAGTCATCGAGTGAGAGCAGACTTGCTTGCAAACGCACGATGCCGATGACAATGATGAGGTGCTGTCGCTGCTTACGTCTGCATCTGCAACAGGAGCTGCACAACTCGACTCTCAAACCAGCAAACTGCATTCGTAACCAAAGTCAGAGTCGATGCAACTCGACATATATGTACAGGTAGGTGGGATTAGCTAAGCCTATGGATAGTTTGGGACTCGTGTGTTTTTGCATATGTGCTGAACTAATCCGGGGTGCTAAACTAGGCTTGGGCCAGGCAGTAGGTGCATGCAGGTAGTGCAATATTCAGCTACAAAGACAATCACAGAGTACTCACCTAAAAGTTGTCATCCAATAAAAAATGTCATTTTTGTCGTAGGCACCCACGGATGTTAACCTGTTCTCACGACGATCGGTTGCTGCGATGTGAAACAGCGCCTGTTATTCAGAAGAGGAGCATATTCGACCGTTTATGGAAGTCCATCGTTGGCACGACACCCGACAACAGGGTCCCCAATGAAGAGCCTTCATTCAGTCTCGTGACTCCCCAACTAGTCAGCCCTGAGCGTCCTGTACCATCATATATACAGGTGCCTCAAATCGGCTTTGTCACCATGGAATCGCGGCTCTTACAATGTGGCATGATACCATGCACTCCTGCAAGTGGTTGGGCAGATTCATGGACGTTTTAACGTAGGAAAAAGATGTATTTAACATCCCTGCCTGCTGTATAACAGAGCATGATCTGATTTGTGTAAATTACATTGAATTATGTGCAAGCTAAATGCTTCCGGGGTGTTCCACTTGTTCCTCTCAGGGTTTTCGACAGCTTATGACCGACACACCTTATCTGCTGTGTGTTTCTCTGCTTCTCCGGTCGTTTAGCTCATCTACCTCACTGACATTTTGTGGTCCTTCCTTTTTAACAATCACCACATGCTGCGACCGCTCGTAATTTTCTTGTGATTTAAATATATTTATCGATTTATCTTCATTTTTTATTTATTTCAGAGGCCACCCTACGCGTTGTCGACGTTTACACTACCGGAAGCAGATCTCGGTCTCCCAGCGGAGAAGCCAATAGTGAACAGTGAGGGCGACATCGTTGCTATGAGAGAGGCATGCACAGCTGCCAGAACCGTGCTCAACACTGCAGCTGATGCCCTACAGGTAACAGCCAGGTGCAGATAGTAATGGTGATGATGATGATGGGGAAGATGATGATGATGATGATGATGATGATGATGATGTTGATGATGATGATGTTCTCTCTCTCTTTCTCTTTCTCTCTCTCTCTCTCTCTCTCTCTCTCTCTCTCTCTCTCTCTCTGTCTTTCTCTCTCCCTTACTGCCTTTCTCATTTAGATGTCATCTTTTCTCCGTAGCCAGGAGTGACAACTGATGAGATTGATAGGATCGTCCATGAAACCTGCATATCTTTGGGAGTCTACCCATCACCATTGAAGTACCGAGGTATGTGTGTGTGTGTGCATATACGTCGTACCCTGGGTTAGGAATATATATTCGATATATCGGAACGTACCCTGGTACTATCTAATATGCCGGACCGTATCTCGCCTACTCCACTAACGAGTCTAGGGAGTCGCTTACGCCTACTCCCTAACCGTAACCCTAACCCTAACCATATCAGATAGTTACCAGCGTACCCTCCAATAGTACCCTGGGGGACATAGACCTTATGAGCTATATATACACATGTGATAGGGTCAGTGTTTGTGTGTTTGCAGGCTTTCCAAAATCGGTGTGCACCTCCGTGAACAACGTCATGTGTCACGGCATCCCTGACGATCGTCCCCTGCAAGATGGTGACATTATCAACGTTGACGTGACGGTAGGTGACAATCCTGGTCTGCATCAAAACAGTTACCAACTGGAATAAATGAGTTTTTTTGCGCGTACAACTTTGACACATGGCTTCAAATCTGCAAAGGTCTTCTGCAACGGTTACCACGGCGACCTGTCTGAAACGTACGTGATAGGAGAGGTTGACGAGAAGGCGACAGACCTGATTGCTGTTGCCAAGCTGTGCCGGGACGCTGCGATCAGCGCGTGTAAACCAGGACAGAGCTACTCTGTGATCGGCGACACCATTAGGTAGGGTTCACCATCTCGCAGAATGCATTTTAGAATAAAATAAATCGTTAATTAATGGGCTTGTATATGTATGACCTGTGTAATTATGAGCCGTGCATCAAATGTGATTGTTTAATGTCGAATATATATTGCAGCTATATATGTCAAGAGACTGGTTATGCAAGTGTCCCAGATTTTTGTGGCCATGGAATCGGTAAATACTTCCATGGGCCGCCTTGCATCATACACATTAGTAAGTACATTCATTCAACTCCCATATATTTATGTAAAGGATAGTTATCTATCATTAAAATGCCAACTGTTGCTCTTTAGTTTAGCAAAGAATTTCTTTTTGCTGTGTAGTTTATAACATTTAGTACACACATGTCATGAAAGTTAGTATAGAGTTCATATGGGTTCTGGCAAACATGGAAAGTCCTTGGAATGTCAAAATGCTATTTTCCCAGTTCGGAATGTCACGGACAATGAACATATTAATTTATATAATAAAATAGTCTATTTTATGGTCCTAGAAAGTCCTACTGCGTTCATTGAACGTGCCCATTTTATCTGAGCGACAATAACATTGTCGTAGGTGGTAAGGGTCCTATAGTAAAGTTAAATCGACATGTCTTATAAAGGGTTGAGGGTGTTATGTCTAGTTAATTGATAATGGAAAATACAGTAGTCGTAGCTCTTTATCATGCCGAAAGTTGTATGTATGTATATATATATATATGTGTATATTATTACCTTTGTGTATGCCTGTTACAGGTAACAATATACAGGGAGTGATGGAGCCAGGAGTTACCTTCACAGTAGGTAAGCTGATCAGGAACAAGTCTGGATGGATGGATGGATGGACGGACGGACGGACGTCCGTCCGTCCGTCCGGACGAACGGGTGGATGGATGGATGGATGAATGGGTGGATGGATGGATGGATGGATGGATGAATGGATGGATGGATGGATGGATGGATGGATGGATGGATGGATGGATGGATGGGTCGATGGATGGATGGATGGATGAACGGATGAGTGATTGAACAAATGAATGACTGACCGACTGAATAAATGAACGAAGTTAGTGTTAACGTCTTTTTATTGAGAACAGCTGCATATGAGCATGATTAGGCACCATATATTCGTCTATGTGGGTGGATGCGTGTACGTACGTACACCCGTGTTCATGTGTGAGTGTCGTGAAACCACGAGCTACCCAATGTCCATTAAGCCATATCGGAAAGTCCCCGCCACCATATTGAGATCAAATAAGAGGTGGTATAAACACCCCTTTTATAACATGGGTAGGATAGGACTATTCTAGGTTTTTTTATCTATAATTCTCTTCACTAACATCGTACTTCAATATTCACAGGTGCATTTCTGTTTACATAAACATTTACAAATATGATTGTGGTCGTTTGGGATATTTTGCAATGTTTGTGTTAATGCAAAAACTAACAACGCACGCGTTTACATCAATCATGTACTTTCCTAAGCGCGCCTCGGCCATTTTATACCCCCCTTTTTCTGTGACCTACATAGCACAGCTGAACTTTCCGATCTCACTTATTACTTTCAGAGCCGATCATCACAGAGGGAAAGACAGCGTTTACGATCCTGGACGACGGCTGGACGGCGGTCGCCTCAGACCAGTCACGGTCAGCGCAGTTCGAACACACCGTGTTGGTCACTGACACAGGCGTCGAAATCCTGACGCTGTGAGGGGGCGCCGGTGTCTGTCTCATCCCGTACTACGGACAGTAGAAGTGCTGACTGTGAGGGGGCGCCGGTGTCTGTCTCATCCCGTACTACGGACAGTAGAAGTCGTGTTCCTCTGTGACAAAATTGGCCGTGCAATTTAAACATCTTAGCATCGTGATTGCGAGATAGTGATAGTGGCATGATGTGGGAAATACCAACGTTTTTTTGTGTTCATTTATATAACCAAGCAATAAACGAATTGTTATCAAAGAACTGAATCGATCGCCTTTTAATATATGTACTTTTGCTTATAAATACATTAGAAAATCCCCATATGTTGTAAATGTAGGGTTAACCTTTGCTCAATAGAAAACAATGTCTTATACTGATAGTTATCTCATCACTTGTATGAAGAATTGAATCACAAGTGTTTTCTATGGTATGAAACTGGTGGTGTGGCAGTTTTTTTAGCACGTTCTTGCTTATTTTAGTCACTGGGTGGCGCTACGGCACCAGCTAGCGCAAACGAACTGTGGCAGTGGTTTGAAAACGTTTTCACCACTAGATGGCACTGCTAGTTATCTAGGGACTGTAGGTAAGATGTCTTGTGTAACAGCCGTACATGGTTCAGACCAGTGGGTTCAGACACTTATCAGCCTAATATATATAAAATATAATATATATATATATATATATATATATATATATTTATATATATATATATTTATATATACATATAATATATGAACCTAATATATATAAATAGATCAGTCAGTCCGGAGTAGGGAATTAGGGGCGCCGATCTTCCCAGAATAAAAGATAAAAATTGTCTTCTACCTGCTCCACGCTATCAAAACCAACCACAAAAACAAATACTCCTCGACGACACAAATCTGTGTGCTTAATTAACAACGTTTTTATTCGCAGAAACGCTAGAAAACACGCCGGGGTTACTAATCTATAGCAACTAGAGGACCTCGCACCGTGTGGACACATCAACATCGGAGGCTCTGGGGCACGCGTAACCATAGCGACCGTGGGAAGAGTCGCTGGGCACGCGTAACCATAGCGACCGTGGGAAGAGACGCTGGGCAGGCGTAACCATAGCAACCGTGGGAAGAGACGGTGGGCCGGGATTGCCTCGCTCGCAATTCACACACAGCGATGACGAAGTTACGACAAACGATTTTTACTCTTGTTCGCATCTCGTGAAAACCTGCACCCGCCAGTGAGCTGTCGTGACTCTTCTATTTGCTTCAGACGTTTACGAGAACAAACGTCGGGAAACGCATGATCGATAATTCCATTATTGAATATTGAATCATACATCAGCACGATCGAACATGATCGGCCCCAATTATTCAAAAAAGGTGAGGCGACGGGTCAAAGATTTCTCATTTGCGGTTAACCCTACCAAGTATTTCACAGGTAGGCGCAGGTAAATATATGTTTCTCTCGTTTCTCCGTGATCGTAAATCGACCAATCTAACAAAGGATATGGAAAGAAGTATCTACCCGAACGTTTCGCAGTTGACGTCGCGAACAGCAAATGTTTCGCGGGTGCCCTTCCACCCGCTGGCTACCACGCATGCGCGCCCCTTCAGCTAACACTACCCTACCAGCTAAACCTACGGATGGGCGAGCTCCCGGCGCACGCAGGACGCGGATACGGTGGCGCCACCAACGGTGCGACGTCGGGGCGCCACACCCGCGCATGCGCGCTACGATTCGGTGTGTCTCGTGATCACACAACGCGGCGGTGTTACGAGCGGCCGTTGAACGCAATCGGAATGCGGCTTACGTGCCGCGCATACGATAAATCAGCCTGGCGGCACGACGCGGCTCGACTCTAGCTGACGACATGACGTACCGGACAGCACCTCTCGGGGGGAGGGGCTGGGTGAGGGGCGGGGGGAGGGGCGGCCGGGGGTGAGGGGGGTGCAGGCGGGTTGGGGGGGGGGGGGGACACGGACCCGGGTTCAAACCCTGCTAGAAACTCTGTGGTATAGAGGGTGTCAAAGTAATGACCAGTGCTCTGTTTAATTTGTTGTGAGTTTGTTTCAGTGAAATTTAAAATGGAGATTTATTAGCCTGGTCCCATCTGTACCCTTCATGTTTATTGCCGAGCTATTCAGAACGTTAAGTTAGTATGGTGACATAGAGTATCACATGGAATTCCTCGAATGGTCTTAATCCCGACGCGCAGTTCAAATCCTGTAGCGACGTATCGGCACAGCAACATAGTAACGTCGGCATAGTCGCACGCGAACTGTCGTCGTCGTCGTCGTCGTTGTCGGCGTGGTCGTCGTCGTCGTCGTCGTCATCGTCGTCGTCAGTCCAGAGAGGGTGTATTTTGTTAATTGAGGGTTGGTCGTCGTCATCAAGGTTTGCTGGCGACCGCTACACGACATGCTAAAGATCCTTAATTTTGATCTAACTGAGATCAACTTTATTAGCATGTGAACTATAGAGAACCCATGAAATTATTCAATCATTTATTGGCCTCCGACAGTCGTTGTATCGACGTTTTAAGGTCGTATGTAAAAAAAATAAACGAGCTTGATCGAGTTGGAGGATTCTTTCGCGTCCGATCGAACAAAATGGCAAATGACCGAGCCCACGGCACCGATGAAAGTTGTCAAGGACAAGTCACGTAAATTTCTAAGATGTTTGACCGAAGTGCTGCGGGCCGTCCGGTGGCAGGTGAGGTGGGAGGGGAGCCCGCGTGCCCTTGTTTACAACGTGAATGACTCGCGTGAAAGGTGGCGTTTAGCGCGTTTCGCGGCCGATGCGTAAGACAGGGTAATCGTACACACGAGCGAAGTGCACTTGTTGTTTCCTCTGACCAATGCCCACACCGACGATTTTGGTGGACACCAAATCCACCAAAATCG